ATATATTTTTCCAAGCTAATGAGATAACAAAAGATAATTGCATCAACTATAGGAGAATATGTTTCCTCATAGTCAATGTCAATTCTTTATGAAAACTTTTGTGTTAAAAGTTTTGCTTTATATCTTATAATCTCATCTTTCTTATTTCATTTTCGTATAAATACATATTTGTATCCCACTAGCTTTACATCTTCGGGTGTTTTAGCTATGTGTTCAAAAAACTACTCTTTTGTAGGAGAACTGTCTAGATTGCTCTTTTCATTTAGACCAATCATCTTTATGTCAACATTCTTCAATAATTTAGGCTCGGGATCCATATTTTCATCCATAATATCAATTACAATATTATATGCAAAAATCTTATCAATAGATGTTTCTTTTCGATCTTATTTTCTCCTCGCATTGATATAATTTATCAAAATCTCTTAATTTTTCTCAAGTATTTGGACTTCTTCGGAAGCCTATTATCATAAATATATTGGACCATTTTGTGAATATTTTCATCTTGCCCTTTTCTTTTGAGGATTTTTATCTTTAGAACCGATCGATCTTTCACGCTTCAAGCGTGCTTTAGATTCATTGGTTATAACATTAATAGATCGCCCTTCTAGGGCATCAATTTTAATAGGAGCATTCTTAGCGGGGACATGCATTTTAGTTACTCGTTTAAGATTTGAGAATGCATCCGGCGATTGGTTTCAATACTCGATAAATGAATTATCTTTTGAACTTCTAGTTCACATTATCTTCGACAAGAATCAAGGTAATATAAGATAGAGTACTCCATGTAATCTTTTTTTTTCAATATTTTCAACTCGCTTATTTTGCTTATTCTCTACCACCTAATGTTGAAAAAACTATTTTATCAAAATGACGATCGATAAATCGAGCTATAAAAATTTTCTCTTGTTTATGAATCAAGAGATTGAATTATCGAAGAGGATTCATATATTCTCAATCTCTTTTAAATGTTCATTTTATTTCATTATAGAGGAGCACTAAGGATATACACTGCAATGCCAAAAATTTTTAATTGACTTATGACCATAAATCAATTGAAGATGAGAGAATTTTTGATAACTTATGGGTCATATGCGAATAAGTGTTGATGCATGTAAGATTGCATATCCCCAAACATAAACATGGAGTTTTATTTTTAAATAATGGTTTAGCTATCAATTGGAGCCTTTTGATAAATGATTTTGCTAAACCTTTTTGAGTATGAACATGAGCAACGGGATGTTCAATCTTTATTTTAATAGTCAATCAATAGTAATTTAATGCTTAAGAAATAAATTCATCGGCATTAGCAAGGTGACTTGTTTTAATAGCATAATTTGAAAATTATGCTCGAAATCAAATTATTTGCTAGCAATCTCGAAAATGTCGGGTTTCGAGTAGATAATAAGCATATACGTGACCATCTTGTGGGTGCATTTATCAAAATCGTAAAATATTTAAATGGTCCACATGATGGATGAATTAATCCACATATATCACCTTGAATATATTCTAAAATACCGAAGATTCAATCTCAATTTTACTTGATGATGGCTTAATCATCAATTTGCTTTGAGCAACATACGAGCACATGAAAGTTCATTAAATTAAAGAATCTTCTAGCTCTTCAATAGATGTCCGTATGAATTTTTAATAATTTTTCGCATCATGAAAGACCCAAGATAGCACAACTGGCCATGTCATATATAATAAAAGTATTTGAATTAGTAAACTTCCGGTTTACTATAATATATTTTGTTTTCAAGCATTCCAATGTTGGTAATAAAGAATAGATGAGAAAGCGAATAATTTCTCCAATACATGCTTTCTATCCGATATAATTATAATATTTAAGAATTTAATTTTTTACATTTGTCGTCTTAATATAATGTCCATTTAGATAAATATATTTGAAACTTCTATGAGACTTTGAAGAGAATAATACATCATTCATAATAAATTTATCCTTTTAGATAATAACATATTTGCTCTTCCGAGCCTTTAATTTGTGTTACTTCAAGCAATAATATATCGACTCTTATAGAGCATTTAAACATTTTCTCTTTAAATAATAATTTATTCACTCTTTTAGAGCTTCAAAAATTTATCTCTTCGAATCATGATATAATCGCTCTTCTAGAGCCTTCAAAATCTATCTCTTTAGATAATAATATAGTCGCTCTTTTAGAGCTTTCTATTATATTGATATTACCATATATAATATTAACATAAAATAAATAATCAAATAAATCAATACAAAATAAATAAATCAATATATTCCTCATAAACACAAACAAATAAATAAATAGTAAAATAGATTTGTAACCATCAATATATGACATAAATTATAAGAAATATAAAACATTTTATTTATAAATAGAAAAACTAACAAGTAATTAATTTCAATTACTATTACTTTGCTATATAAAAGTGATCTTCATATTTTACTCTTTATTTTTCAATAAGGCTTGACAATGCTCAATGATGTGTTTGGTGTACGGCAGGTACACGACTAATGTCCATTCACATCATATTTATAACATTCATTTTCGAATGTCGACTTTATCTATTTTCATTCTTTTTTTCATAGTTATCCACTTCTTGTGGTAAGATGTAATATTATGTTCATCACAATTATAATGATAATTATTTTGACAACATCCATGGCTATGACTACATCTTCGTCCATGCCTAAAATTATTATAAATTGTCACATTCACTTCGGGGAATGGAATAGATCCAATTGGACGAGATTTATTCTTTTTTCATCAATAGCTTTTCATTTTATTTAGCCATGACCAAATATGAAATTGATTTATAATATTTCTTAAATTTTTTTTCTTGATATGCTACTCGTAGGAGCAAATTCGAGACATGAAAAGTAGATGATATTAACTTAGCATCAAGCACTCATGATCAATAATTATTGCCCAAAATGTCAAGGGTCATAAAATCAAGTTTTGTGATGGTTGATAAGATATCATTAAAATTGTATATTGCAAAGTATAATAATAATGTTAGAAAATAAAGACAAAATATAATAATAAATTTAAATAAAAATAAATATAATAATAAAATTTGAACTTTTCAAATAATATATGTTAAATTATTAGATTCTATATATTAAATTATTAAAAATTTTCAAATGTATATTCTATGTATCATTAAATTTAAAATACATAATAAATTAGATACATACCTCTTAATGATCTAAATAATAATTTAGATCTAATTGGTAGAGCACTTGTGTAAAAGAAATTCAATGGTTGAAACAATTGATTAAGTGTTTTGATAGATACATACCTCATGGTCTATTATCTCGATTGGTTAGAACTTCGTGTTGATAACGTATTATAAAATAAATTGAAATAATAGGAGAATTGAAGAAAAGGATGACAAGAAAATGAAATCACTATAATATATGAATATGAGTGATAAGAACTTTAAAGTTTCTCTTATTCTCTCTAGGAAACTTGTACATCAACTCATGAACAAATCAAGCCTATTTATAGGCTTCAAAATTGAGAAGAGAATTGGAAGAGACTATGAATAATCAATTGCATCACCCTTTCAATTTCTCATATTGAATGATGAATTGAATCATATTGATAATCATGAGTAGTGGGGATATGAAAAGTGGATGAACATGATGATGGACATTCATTATTTCTTAACAAAAAATAAATTCAGAATTTATTAGAATCAATTTTGTTGTAGTTTTTATTTTAATTTATTGATTTCAATATATTTCATACAATTTGGTGAGCTCGGTCTTTTTCTTTTTTTGTTTTTTTCTTCACACACACATATTATCGTGAAATTAGGTGTGAAAAATATAAAAAATAAATCGTTATTTTTTTTTTAGTTTTATATATAGTTTGAAGGTAATAGAATATATATGATTTTTTTTATATTTTAGTTTGAACATATATATCTAATTATAGTACTCTTATTGTTTAAAATTTATTTCTTCAATTATTTGTTTCTTATTAAAATTCTCATCAAATTAATTTTTTGATATAATTTTATTTGTTAATAAATTTATTTTTTAATATATGAATTTTGGAATAAAATTTTAGGACTTTGGTATTTTATTTTTTAAAAATATATTATTATAATTTATATAATAAATTACTTTTATGATTTTTAAATGAGTGTTTTATTTTTTAAAATATGTTATTATAATTTATAAATTATGATTATATATATATATAAAAGAGAGAGAGTGTGTGTGTGTTAAAAGTATGTTTTAGATAACTTGACTCAGATGTTTTTTTAAAAAATTAATAATCAATTAAAAATCACAAGTTTTATTTGCTTTTTTATATATATATTTATTCGAAATTTAGCATAACCAATTTTGTTGTAATTTTTATTTTAATCTATTAACTTCAATATATTTTATACAATTTAGGTTGATTTTTTTCATATATTTTTCTATTTATTCTATTTATTCTACTTTTATATATATAGTTATTCAGAATTTATCAAAACTAATTTTATTGTAGTTTTTATTTTAATCTATTGACTTTAATATATTTCATACAATTTAGGTGGATTTTTTTGTATATTTTATATATGAATTATTAACTCTACTTATGTAATGATTATTTGACTATAACGTAGCGTGAATATCTAACTAGTGTGTGTGTGTGTGTGTGTATATATATATATATATATATATATATATATATATATATATATAAAGAAAACTATAGTATGGTCATTTTTTTGTTTTATTAAAAAATATCAAATACCTTATAAAACGGTGCGCGAAATAAGAGGGCCAAAAAAAGAAACCAATCTCCAGAATCTTCCTAAAACCCCGTCAAAAACCCTACTAAACCCCATCCATATCTCACAATCCGAAATTCGCTAGGAATAGCACCAATCTACCCCAATAACACCATCTCTCTCCCTCCACCTCTCTCTCTCTCTCTCTCTCTCTCTCTCTCTCTGGGGTAGCGTTCCGTTCAACTTCTTCCTTCTGTGAACGAACGATGTACAAGCTATCGAGGCGTTCCGTCTCCGCTATCCTGCGCTACACTGGCTCTGCCTCTGGTTACCGGAGCGCCGCTGCCGCCATCGCTGTCCCAATCTCTGATTCTGTACGCTCCCATAGAAAACCCTTACCATTTCTACACTCACTTAAAACTTGTTTCTTTATTTTTAAATTGATTGATTCTGGTTGATCATGAATTTCAGCATCAAAAGCTCTGTTCTCGGTTGCTAATTTACAAATATTTTTAGCATTCATTATGTACTCAATGCAATTTTCTCTTATTTTTGGCAAGGCATGAGCACAAAGGAAAATAAAGCTGTACTGTTTATTGGATCAGTCAACCTTAATTGTGTATCAAACATTAACGTTTATAGAAAATGTATTGTGGTTAAATGTGAAATATTTATTTAGGAGTTATGAACAGGTTGTGGACAGTGATACCAAATTGAGATGGTACTCCGTTTTAACCGCTGGGACAGAGATACCAAATAAAACCAAGCATTTGAACGTGAAGAATGGTTTGTTTTTGGGTACCCGTTATGAGTCGACTGCCGCAGAGTCTGATGCTTCATCATCTCCTCCACCAGTGGGTGAAAAACACGAGTATCAAGCTGAGGTATATCAATTGACATTATGGGGAAATTTAATTTGCATTCAAGTAGCTAGAGCTGAATATAGTTTTAATGGGGTGTCTTCTCTTGTTTTTTTTTCCCCTTATATATATAATGACAGGTTAGTCGCCTTATGGACCTCATTGTTAATAGTTTATACAGCAACAAAGAAGTGTTTCTTCGGGAGCTTATCAGGCACGTTTTTTTTTCTTTTCTTTTTATTTATGCTTTGATGCATTTGTATATAGTCCTATTTACCTGAAAAGCAAGAGAGGGCATTAATTAAAGCATTTTATGTAATAATGGTTACAAACAGTCAATAGATTCATTGGTCTTGTTTTCTTTGCTTTTGGAAATTTATATGTTGTTGCCTAAATTTTGTACTCTATGGATTTGTGTTCACAGTAATGCAAGTGATGCCTTGGACAAGCTGCGATTTCTTAGTGTCACTGACCCTGAGCTTTTGAGGGATGCTGCTGATCTTGACATTCGTATCCAGACCGATAAAGATAATGGGATTGTAACTATCACGTAAGCTTTCTGAACTTCATGAGCTGTTGGTTATTGATTTTTCTTTCCATTCAACTATTCCAACATATGGTTCTTTCTTGCAGTGATAGTGGCATTGGTATGACTCGGCAAGAACTTATTGATTGTCTTGGAACTATCGCACAAAGTGGAACTGCAAAGTTTTTGAAGGCATTGAAGGTTTAATATTTTCTTTAAGCTTCATCGAATTTTCTATTCCTAGTGTTTTGCTGGGTTGCTCGAGTCCTTAGAGAATTCATATTTGCTTTACAGGATAGCAAGGATGCTGGTGCTGAAAACAATTTAATCGGGCAATTTGGTGTGGGCTTTTATTCAGCTTTTCTCGTGGCAGATCGGGTATGACCTTAGTGTAAAGTTTGGACATTTTTTTATGTTAGTTATCTTATTAACATCAACATAGAAGTTTTCTAGAGTTCATTAATAAATCTCTTATTGTTGAAAGGTTATTGTCTCAACAAAAAGTCCAAAATCTGATAAACAATATGTATGGGAAGGAGAGGCCAATGCAAGCTCATATACTATTAGAGAGGAAACAGACCCAGAAAATCTCATTCCTAGAGGAACTCGCCTTACACTGCATCTTAAGGTCTAGCCTCTTTTCCTCAAGCAGCTTGTTTCCTCTTTCTTGAACTGATCTGAAACTCACCATGTTTTTTCTTGTCTGTTCTCCCTACTTCAGCGTGATGACAAAGGCTTTGCACATCCAGAGCGGATCCAGAAGCTTGTGAAAAACTACTCACAGTTTGTTTCATTTCCAATATACACCTGGCAGGAGAAAGGATACACTAAAGAGGTCTCAGTTTTCTCAGTGACTATAATATTTCCATTGTCATGAAAGACTCAATGCTGAGAGCAACTTTTGATGGATTATGAATAAATCTCTACCGCTTGAAAAATGCTACACGTTTATCTATTATTTCTTGTTCTGTTGCAGGTTGAGGTTGATGAGGATCCAGCTGAAGCCAAAAAAGATGAACAAGACGATACCACTGAGGTATCAAGCACAACTTTTCTTATCATTTCATGGTTCTTCAATAACTAATCTGGTAGCTTGTTTGTGATTCTTCTTATTATTCACTTGTTGTTATTTGTGACAGAAGAAGAAGAAAACAAAAACTGTTGTCGAGAGGTACTGGGACTGGGAACTTACTAATGAGACCCAACCAATATGGGTGAGTAAAGATTGGTATATTTGGATGTTGTCTAAATGCTACCATATAGAAAAAGGTGTGATAAGTTCTCTTGATATGTGCAGCTTCGCAACCCTAAAGAAGTTTCTACAGAAGAATACAACGAGTTTTACAAGAAAACTTTTAATGAATACTTGGAGCCATTGGCATCTTCTCATTTCACAACTGAGGTAACAACAATTCTCATTCTGCATGTGATAATGATTATATTGTTTTATAAAATTAATATATGCAAGACCTCTTTGGATATATGCTTCTAAAATTGGGTGATAGTTATCTAAAGGTCAAGGCCAAGGAAAAGTGGGTAACTTAAACTTGTTAGCCAAAGAAAAGTACATGTTTTATCTCTGTTGTCTGACATGCTGTGCAAGTTTTTTTTTTGTTCTCTAAATGTTGAAGTCTAAAGTCTTAACATGGTTCTTTTCTCATTTGCCTCCTTTCATTGCTTGCTGAACTGATGAAGGTTGCTCTTGCAGGGTGAGGTGGAGTTCAGGTCCATACTTTATGTGCCAGCCATTGCTTCCACAGGAAAGGATGACATAGCCAATCCCAAAACAAAAAATATCAGGCTCTATGTTAAAAGGGTCTTCATTTCAGATGATTTTGATGGAGAACTGGTAAGAGAATGCCATCCTTCCCTTCCTTCGACGCCCACCCCCTAAACAGATTTATACCATATAGAAACTTGCTCACACTCACTATTTATATTTTATGCTTACTCACTTTTTATTTTTTGCTTGATTAGTTCCCACGATATCTAAGCTTCGTGAAAGGTGTTGTGGACTCCAATGACCTTCCCCTCAATGTTTCTCGTGAGATTCTTCAAGAAAGTCGCATTGTATGCAGATTCAACATGTATTTGTTTTTCCAAAACCTCGTGAGAGGTTATAGAACTAATTTCATCTGAATGATATATCTTCTTAATTTTTGTTTTTCTGGCATTCTTGAAGGTGCGGATTATGAGGAAACGCTTGGTTCGAAAGGCATTTGACATGATTTTGGGCATATCCATGAGCGAGAATAGAGAAGTATGCTATTTCTTATGAAATTACCTGTTTCCTTTTCCATTTTCTATGAAAGATCTTATGACAGGATGTCAAAATAATTCTGCAAATTGCTTGAGTATGAATCTAGATATATATGGGTGTTTTTTCTCTCTGGTTTTTTGGGAAGCCTTCTATGTTTTGTCCTCCTGCATATCTGTTTTGATTCAGAATTCTTGGTATTTCTTCTACCTTCTCTCTCTCTCTCTCTCTCTCACACACACACACCCACACCCACGTGTGCATGCATGCATCTACTTCTGCATGTGGGGATATGTCAGAACTAGCGACCCTATTGGCTCTGGCAAAAACCCTGCTACTATATTTTCTCCCGTGAATAGTTTTAACCTGATTACCCATTTTTGGACTTGTAAATTTTCCATGGATTCTGGTTCTTTGTTTTCATTTTTTAAACTAAGCCATCTTCCTTTGTTGTAGGATTATGAGAAGTTCTGGGATAACTTTGGCAGACACTTGAAATTGGGTTGCATTGAGGATCGTGAAAACCATAAGCGTATTGCACCACTGCTTCGATTTTTCTCTTCCCAGAGCGAGGAGGAGATGATTAGCTTGGATGAGTACATGGAGAACATGAAACCTGAGCAGAAGGATATCTATTACATAGCTTCTGACAGTGTAAACAGCGCTAGGAACACACCTTTCTTAGAGAGACTTCTTGAGAAGGATCTTGAAGTATGTATTGACATCAAAAACAATTCTGCAATATTTTAGTTAATGTGCTGTGATATATCATGAACCAACGTGATTTCTCTTTTGTTGTTATTTCTACAGGTGCTGTTCTTGGTTGATCCCATTGATGAGCTTGCCATCCAGAACCTGAAATCATACAAGGAGAAGACTTTTGTTGACATCACCAAGGAAGACTTGGATTTAGGTTCGTTTTTTAGATAATTCATGGTTGTTTGAGAAATTTATTCTTCTGTTGTAGGCTTATTTTCCATTGGAATAGATCACTTGTATTGGAGTGACTATATGAAGAAAATCTTTTAAGTTTTGATGCTTTTTTATGCTCAGTTAGCTTAATTGTATTGTTCTACGAAGGCTATGGCTAATGGTTAGCTCTGATCTAAATTTTGCTAAAGCTTTCTCAATTGTGACGCGGACTGGGATAACTATGTGGGGAAAGTTGAAGAAAATTATGTTCGATCCATTTGTGTTAATTGGTTTCAACTTGGATGTATGATTTAAGTTATTTGACTTTTGCAGGTGATAAGAACGAGGAGAAAGAAAAGGCCATGAAGCAGGAGTTTGGCCAAACCTGTGATTGGATTAAGAAGCGCTTGGGTGACAAAGTTGCCAGTGTACAAATATCAAGTCGCCTGAGCTCATCGCCCTGTGTTCTTGTGTCTGGGAAATTTGGTTGGTCTGCCAACATGGAGAGGTAAAGTGCTCCTTTGTGGCTTGTGCTGGTGATGCATGTCAAGCATCTCTCTCTCTCTCTCTCTATATATATATATATATATATATATATATATGCACGTTTCTGCTTCATACATGTTTAACCTATAAATCTTCTTTTACTGTAGGCTAATGAAGTCACAAACAGTTGGCGATATGTCTAGCCTGGAGTTCATGAAAGGCAGAAGGGTGTTTGAGATCAATCCTGAACATGAAATAATTAAGAACTTAAATGTAGGGGGACATTCCCATCCATCTCTCTCTGTGACTTTCATTTTGGTCTTAGTGACTGGGATATTCCCATACATCTCTCTCTATGACTCTCGTTTAGTCTTAGTGACTCTAGTCACTTACACTTAATTTTTTTTTATTATTATTTTCTGCAGGCTGCATGCAGGAGTAACCCAGATGATGAAGATGCCCTGAGAGCTGTAGATCTCCTCTATGATACAGCTTTGGTTTCCAGTGGATATACTGTGAGTATTTTTGTTGCTTTCTTAACCATATATTTATATATAAAATTACAATTAACCTTGTCATTATGTCTCATTTGGAGAATATGATTTGCCAACTGAAACTCAACTTCTTGGTGTGTGGCCTATGAAAATGCATGTTTAATTATTTCAAGGTGACAAAAACAATTAGACTCGTTTCTTAATGAGCCCAGCATTCGAACTGTAGTTTTTGTTTGTTCCCTGACCTTGATTTTAATTCATGCAGCCTGAGAATCCAGCGCAGCTAGGCGGGAAGATTTATGAGATGATGGGCATGGCCCTCTCGGGGAAATGGTTAACTTCCCCCGAGGTTCAGCATCCTGTATCTTCCCGATCTGACATCCCAGAAACATTAGAAGCTGAGGTGGTTGAGCCAGTTGAGGCTGATGGACAGAAGTGAGGATGTGGGGGCAAAACACAAATGCAATTTTTGTTACTTCATTTCCATGTTTCCTATGCGTGTAATATCTACTTAGGAGAGATTATTAGGGCTCTTAGCCCATAAATTGCAGAGAGGAATTGTGTAAAACTGAGCTGGACAGATGTTGCCTGAATTCTTCTAAATTGGTTTAGTTAAATGATCATCTTTAGTCTTGTTAACGTCTGTTATTTTAACCTTTGATTGAATTTAATACAGTGTATGGAAGACCATAACACCTATTAATCTGGGAGATGATTGATAAGACGTGTTTAAATACAGTTGACTGGAGACGTGAACAGGCTGGTGAGGACTGGTTATTCTTCACCCAACTTTTGTTGGACTTTTTACCATCCTTTTTCAGATAATATATGAATATGCAAAAATGTTGTGGGAGGTGGAGCGTATGACCTTAAAATACCTCATGTAGATTTAGTTCTGGTGTTCAACAGCTAATTAGATCATGTGCTTTGGCGTTTAAGAAAAAAGGAAAGAACGGTGAGTGTGACTGGATTCCATGTGAGAGAGAGAGTTCAATATAAACTGGTAAAAGAAATTTCTTCTGGCTTGAATATCAGGAAATTATTGTTCTAAACTTTATACTTACATAGTGTATCTGAAAAATATTTGGTTGGAGCGATTTTTTTTTATATAAAAAAAAACATTTTTTTTTATATCACTTTCATTAATATGGTTAACGTTGGTAATTATTTATTGACCTATTGACTCGTTAGCCTAGCCAAATAGGCCATAGCCGCTTCTAAAGCAAGTCAATGCCCAACAAACAGCGACAAATGGCTAACATGCGAAGCATGTCAACACAAATTAAAAGACCGGCTTAGCCTGTCATTTCTGCGTCGAAAGGACAAGCCAGCCACAGCTAGCCGTTTTCTTTCATTTACGATTTTCCTCTCCTATCGTCCAGTCTTGTCCCTGGCTGAAGTCGTGAATTTGCTCTGTGTCTCCCTTTGGTCAAGCCTCAACGCTGGAGGACAAAATCGTAAAAAAGTCGATTCAATGATCTCTCCGTTCTCTGTAATCTTTATTGATTGATAGTTGTTTCCTTCGTCTCTTCTCCTTCGATCCATTTGCCCTCGTTTCTTCAGGTCAGCACTCTCTATCACCTCTTCTTTCATTTTCTCTCTATTTATTAGTTTCAACGGTTGCTGAGAAAACAGAGAGAAAAACTATAGAAAATGTTTTTGACTTTTTTCTTTTATTGTTTTTGGCTTAAGTGATGGATAATTAGATGGATAGATTTTTGCAGTGAAATAAAATCTAGGTTTTGCTAACTGATAGGTTGTTATTTTTACTTTTATCTTAGAAAAGGCCTTTGAGAGGTTAGATTTACTAACTTTTTGTTTGACTTTGGTAGCTTTCTTAGTGACCAAACATATAACTTCTTCTTAGCATCTCCTTTGCTCTGATCTACTGTTTGCTTGTTTCAACTTTTTGTAAATTTTTTGCCTTTTCTTTTTAGCTGATTGATTGATGATGCTGATTTTTTTTTTAAAAAAAAAAAATTAGAGGTGTGTTTGTGTTCTTTCTTCTGTTATAGCTGAGTAGTAACTGATCTAGTCTCTCTGTGTGATTATTTTCGATTTTTATTAATCATGCTATTTTTCAATTTTTATATATGATATAATATGAATACCCTCTGGAAAGGAACAAAAAGTTCTTGTAGAAAAAAGTATCATTAGGTATAATTTTGATTAAAAATTTACTAGACAGAAGAACCCATTTTCTAGTCATCATGCTTCTCGTTATTTTATTTTATTTTTCCCATTTCCATAGCTTGAATTTTTTATAATAGTGAGTATAAAAGGACGGGGTGATGGATTGATGATGTGTTATAGTTTCTTGTGAAAATGACAGGAAGAAACAGACTAATTGATGGGCACATCATCTGGTTCTAACATTCATCATCACCCTTCATCAAAAATGCTTCCTCCACGACAGCAACCGCGTGCAACTGGACTACAAACATCACTGTCCTTGGTGCCTTCCGATCCTCACCTGTCCCCTGATGCACAGGAACCCAGATCAAACTCTGATAATATTCGTGAATCACCTACTGAAAGTGCTAGTTCGCGAGAAACTTGGCCTACTGCTGATGCCATGTTAGCAAAGAAGATGGAGAACGGCAAGGCAGAGAATGATTGTCTCGAACAGTCTGTCATTCGTCGTGTCTCAGGTGCAGATAAGATATCTCTTCGTGACATAGCTAGGGAACGAGTTGACATGATCTCTGAAAAGATGCATCATCTACCTGACGACTTTCTTGATGAGCTAAAGAATGGTCTACGGGTTATCCTTGAAGGAAGTGGTGGTTCACAGCACAGAGAGGAATTTTTGATTTTGCAGAAGCTTGTTCACAATAGATCTGATTTGACAGCAAAGACGATGATTAGAGCACACCGAGTACAGCTTGAAATACTCGTTGCAATAAACACTGGAATTCAGGCTTTTTTGCATCCAAGTATTAGTCTCTCCCAAACTTCTTTGATTGAGGTCTTTGTGTTCAAGAGATGTAGAAATATAGCATGCCAAAACCAGCTTCCAGCTGATGACTGTACCTGCGAAATATGTGCCAACAGAAGTGGTTTCTGCAATCTCTGCATGTGTGTAATCTGTAACAAATTTGATTTTGAAGTGAATACGTGCCGTTGGATTGGTTGCGATTTGTGTTCTCATTGGACTCACACGGATTGTGCTATTCGTGATGGGCAAATTTGTATGGGCCAATCTGTGAAGAGTGGAGCAGGACCAACTGAAATGCTTTTCCGTTGTCGAGCCTGCAATCGAACATCTGAGCTCTTGGGTTGGGTGAAAGATGTTTTCCAACACTGTGCACCAGCTTGGGAACGAGAGGCCCTAATGAGGGAACTTGATTTTGTTAGTAGAATCTTCCGAGGAAGTGAAGACTCTAGAGGGAGGAAACTCTTTTGGAAGTGCGAGGAACTTATTGAGAAAATGAAGGGTGGACTTGCAGAGTCAACAGCTTGCAGAGTGATATTGATGTTCTTCCAAGGTATGTATGATGCTAAGCCTTAGATAAAACAGCCTTTTCTCTTTCAGTATTGGAAGAATGTTTTACTTGCTTTGGTAGTTCAACGGACAGTCACCTCTCCAGCAAGAAAAGGTATAAATATGGAAACTTCTCTGTGATTTGAATCAGATAATTTATGGAGTAAATCGGGTTTTAAATTTCTAGGCATTAGTTTGCATTGCCTCCTCGGGGCTGCTTTATGCAGTGGCTAAGCTGCTCCAATATCATTTATATATATATATATATATATATATATATATATATATGCTTGTATGTAACTGGAATCCTAACAGCATACAAGGGTAGTGATGCATAGTGAATAGAAATCCAAAATAAGAAAAAAATACATCAGGTAAATCAAGATAAAAGAAAAAAGTTTGGTAAAGGTTTAATTTAGTGAATGGGAATCCTTAGTTCATAAGGACAGTAAAATATCATTCTGAAAAAAAGTATATAGCACGATTTTATTTACTTATTTTATTGTAGAATAATGAAAGTTCTTTTTTTGGACAACAGATATTGACAGTTTTTTTAATCAAAAGAATGATAATTATAAAAGGTTAGGCCGTTTTTTTTTCTTTTTTTCTTTTAATGTTGGCTAGTTTAGATGAGATCAATCAGAAAGAATATAATTTTATATGCGGACCAATAAAAGATGAATTAAAAAAGTAACTATTTCCTGTTGCATGTGGACCAATCAAAATTTAGCATAATGGAATACAACTGAATCTAAGCTTTTTAATACAGAATTCTGGAAGAAATTACCAACGGATTGTGAAATCTCTCATCTTTCTGTTGAGGTTTTTAAGGTGCTCAACCACCACATACTTCGTGATCTTAAAGCCAAAGTATACTAAAGTATGCTAATAGAAAAGTAAACCACCATGATTAATATTATGTTCAAAAGCTCATAGATCACTAATAGTTTCTCTTGAGATATGTACCTTAGAATGATGATAGTGAGAAGAGAGAAATCCCTAGCATGTAAGCAGACGTGATTTTTCTTTTTTTAGTTGTAAAGAGAGCGTGACTTTTTCTTTAAATAAAGTGGTGTCAAGGAAAAAAAAAACATTACATTAGGCAGAAAATCCTTTTTCTATAAAATTATTCAAAGAAAATCCTTTTATTAGAAGGAAATTTGGAGTTAATATATGTATTTATAATGGCTAAATTACCCTGGATTATTATAGTTAAGAAGGGTATTTTGACAGAGTTGGTGGGTTTTTATATAGTTTTGGATGTACGATATGTGATTTTTATACAAGTTACCCTACAATATCTCTCTTGTTCTCATCAACAATGAGTGTAGGGGTATTACTGCATTCTGACAATGTTTAAAGGCATTTTTTTCAAAAGAATTTTTAAGGGTATCTCTTTTGTGATTTTTAAATCAAAAGAATTTTTCCATTTTTTGCAGAGGCAGAGAGAGTTTTCTTTCTTAAATATGATAGTAATTTCTTTATTGCAAAGGCAGACGGAAAGTTTCATGAGTATAGGGGTATTACTGCATTCTGACAACGTTTAAAGGCATTTTTATCATGTTGAGCTCCATTATACGGTGTTTTTCATGAGTATAGGGTTATTACTGCATTCGGACAATGTTTAAAGGCATTTTTTATCATGTTGAGCTCCATTATAAGGTGTTTTTTATTAGTTGGTTTGGAAGGACTACATTAACCATATGCAGGTAAATTTTTGTATCATACTTTATCTAGTCCGCTAGTCATGTAAGTGAGCATGCCATATATAAACATGCTAAGAGTATCTCACTTTGATCAGAACCTTTGACGTGTTCATTCTGAGAGTCTATTAATGTGATTGGAGCTGATGTCTTCATTCTATTGTTAGACTCTTAGTTCCTGCTAATTGGGAAGGCTAATCACAGCATGTCTCTCTTCTATTCTTTGAGCTTTAGGGTTTCATCCTTGCTCTG